GTGTACGGTCTAAATTGAAGAGTAGTTCCCTATTTAAAAAGAAAGAAACAACTCCTTTTATTATCCTTTAATTAAGGGGATTTGTTCTGTGAAGTTTGGATTCAGTAAAAGGGCTGCACTTGAGGATCTAGAGGGCCACATGTGGCCTCGAGGCTGCAGGTTCCCCACCCCTGTTCTAGGTGTTCCTTATTTGGGGTAATATTTTGTTGATTGTATCAAGCCCTGGGACCTTGCAGAGTCTTATGGATAAGCTCTATAATCACACAAAAGAGTTTGGCCTAACTATCCTTGTAGAAAATCCAAGCCAATGAAGAATGTAGAAAGAACACTGGGTATAGAGTCAGAGAACCTTGGTGCAAATCCTCCTTCTACTAATTACTGTGTGACCTTGGGCAAAGCAATTTCATTGATTTGAACGTCAATTCTTCATCTGTAAGATGAATGAGTTGGACTAGGTGATCTGAAAGTTATCTTTGCAGCTCAAAATCTGTGATCCTGTGAATGCCTGTTGTACAGTTTATAACATACATTTAGATAGACAGCCTATATTATATCTCTTGGACAGATGCTGCAAAGGAACAAGAAGTTAGGATCAGAATTAAACAGGAAGAAGAAACTTGGATTGTTTTTGGGAAATTGCAAAGAAACTATGAAGAAAATTATTTAAGGATATTATCAAAGAAATGTATGTTTAAAAATATGGGTTGGTCATGTGGGAAGAGCAAAGGATAACCATATGCTCCACTGATATCCTTACAATGTCAAGAGAAGTTGAGGAAGGCTCTAAGCATTTTGGATGGATATCCCGTGGAAAATTTAGTCAAATATGATGGATAGGAATGGATAGATTACAATCTTTATCACTGGATAGAACATCCACAATGATGAGATCTCAGATCCATTTAAACACGTGTCATGAACTGTTGTAGGCCCTGCCAATCTTGATGCTACGGAGCTTAAACTTCAGCAGTGAAGCTTCATTTCTCTTCCAGCTCTGATTTTGACTTTCTGGAGGTCAAAAACATATTTCTACTGCTGTCTCATCCTAAAACTTCGCTCAGGACCTGATTCCTCCTTGCCCTGGAATATCTCTTTGCAAGGCCTACCCCCTTTCTACCACTGGTGAGTTCTTCCTGGAGCCTCTATTTTGTGGAAGGCCCCAGGCCAGCCCAATATTATGTTATATCCCTCCTAGCCATATTCTTGACTTTGTGGACTTCAAAAATATGCCTCTTTTCCTGTCTTCTCCTAGAACTTCCCTCAGCTCCCGAGGCTTCCTAACCATAGAACATCCTGCCTTTATTCCCCTCTTGGCCCTATTCCTGACTTTCTGGACTTCAAAATCATGCATGCTGTATTGTCTTGGAACTTCCCTCAGGACCTGGGACCCCCTTACTCTAGAGCATCCTACTATCCCCATGACTTGTTCACCCTGAATAATCCCTCCACAAGACCACTCACCAAGAGGTGAGTTCCTCTTGGAGCCTCCTTTTTTTTTTGGTTGGGCAATGGGGTTAAGTGACTTGCCCAGGGTCACACAGCTAGTAAGTGTTATGTGTCTGAGGCTGGATTTGAACTCAGGTCCTCCTGAATCCAGGGCCGGTACTCTATCTACTGCACCACCTAGCTGCCCTGAGCCTGAATTTTGTGAATGGTCCCAGGTTGGCCTGCCTTCATTCCCCTCCTAGTCCTATTTCTGACTTTCTGGATTTCAAAATCATACCCCCTTCGTTTCTCCCCCCTGTCCCCCCTCCACCTTGATCCCCTCTCCTTGCAGCTTTTCTGCTCTCTTTTGTAGGTTGTCTTACTCCATTTGAATGTAAGCTCCTTAGGGGCTGATAGACTTAGAAGCTTTGACCTGCTCCATTTCTGACTTAACCTAATTTACCCTTCATTAGGCATCCTAGTACTCCATGTTCTGAGGCATTCACCATATTGGTGCCAGACTTAATCCTATTGCAGGTCAGAACTCCTAAGGTCAAGGGATCCATCAGTCTTAGTCTCCCCAGAAGCAGGAATTACAGGCATGTGCCACCATATTCTATCAACCATACAGTATTATTCCACCTTTCCTTGTACCTTATGACTCCTTCTTCCTCACCTTAACCTCAAATCCTTTTTAGCCCTCCCTTATTTTCTGGCCATTACTCCTGCATTATCTACACGCTTCCCCTTTCCTTATCTCAATGACTTAAAATCAGTTCAACTCTATGCTATTCTCTATGTCACTCAGAGCTGCGATTGTCCCCTCCATCATTCTCATTCTCTCACTGGTCCCCAATCTCTTTCTACTGGCTGCTTCCCTCCCACCTACATTCTCATGTCTCCCTATTTAAAAAAAAAACAAAATAAAAAAAACCCCCAAAAACCTCTTGCTTGATCCACTGATTCCCTACCAGCTATATCTCTCCTTCCCTTTGTGGCTAAATTTGAGAAGGCCTTTGGTGCCTCTACAACCAAATTCTTCCTCTCTCCAAATTTAGCAACGATCTTGGGTACTGCCACATCTAATGACCTTTTCTCAAGTCTCATCTTTTTTTTTAAGCTCTTTGCAGCCTTTAACACTGTCAATCACCCTCTTCTTAAATTTCTCTTCTCTAAGCTTTTGTGACATTGCTCTTTTCTTTGACTCCTCCTACTTGACCACTCAGTGTCCTTTGTGGATATTCATCCATGTGATACCTGCTAAATCTGGGTTAGCAGTGAGTCCCAAACTGTGAGCCCCAAAGGCTCTCTCCTGGGTCTTCTTCCCTTTTCTATCCATATGAGAGATCTCATTAGCTCCCTTGGGATCCAATTATCATCTCAATGCAGATGATTCAGAAATTTATCTATTCCTAACCTTTCCTGACCTCCAGTCTCACATCTCCAACTGATTATTGGACATCTAAAACTAAATGTCCTGCAGACATCTTAAATTCAACATGTTCAAAACTGAACTCATAGTTCTACCCAAACCTTCCCCTCCTCCTAACTTCCCCATTATGGTCGAGAGTATTACTATCTTCTCAGTCACCCAGGCTCAAAATCCAGGTATCATCTTCAATTTCTTACTTTCCTTATCCAGTCAGCTGATAAATCTTGTTTATTCTACCTTTGTAATATTTCTTGAATATGTTCCCTTTCTCTCCTCTGACACCATAACACCCTTTTGCAGGTCCTCATCATCTAATGCTTGGACTATTGCAATAACCAGCTGGTTGGTCTCCTTGCCACAAGTCTCTCCTCACTCCAGTTCATCTTCCACTCAGTTGTAAAAGTGGTTTTCCCAAAGCACAGGTATGACCATGTCATCCCCCTACTCCACAAACTTCAGTTGCCTAAAGTCACAAAGATATTGAGAGGCAGAGCATGGATTTGAATCCACATCCTTTAAGGCTAACGTTAATGCTCTTTCTTATGCTGGATCACTTAATCTTTACGAGGCTGTTTCCTCTTCTGTAAAATGGGAATAATATCTGTTATAAGGATGTTGTAAGGATGAAATGACGTAGGTAATGTGTTTTGATAACTTTAAAGTACTACATACTAGTTATTATTGTATTCATAAATTCCCTTGCATTCCATTTCATTTATCTTCTTCTAATAGAACAGAAATACAAATTCTGTTCATTATGTAGTTTGTCAGTTAACAAACATTTATTAAGTGCTTATTATGTGCTAATCAGTGTGGCAATCGTTAGAGATACAAATAAAAGTAAAACTGATGTGGTCCCTGCCTCAAGGAGCTCACAATCCTAATAAGGACATGAAGACAACTCTCTCTCCTTCACCCCGCCCCCCAGTCTTCCCTCCTTTCCCCTCCCTTCACACACAATATACAGAATGAAAATGGAAGGCTTCTAAAAGCAGCTAGTCCTCAGGTTACATACATAACTGAAAGAATAATCAAATTCAGAAGACAGAGTAGTACTCTGATCCTTACGGCTGTAAGTTGGATGGGAACAACTTCAGGAGCATCTAACCAGAAAAAGAACTGATGGCTTTACTGGCACACCCTAGGAAGGCTGCAAAGGGAGGGTTCTTTCCTTTAAATCTTTAGATCTCTTCCATCAATTCATTTGGTCACTTCACATATTTCCTCTTTCCTATCCAGTCTGTCAGTATCTCATTGGGGAAAAGTGAGCATTTTATTACACTTTCGTGTTTTAAGATTTTTTTCCCCTTCCACGTTGGCAACGCCTCTTCCCCGCACCCCCCTCCTCCCAAAAAAACAGGACACATTGCTTTAGGTGGCCTAGATACTTCAGCAGCATCCTCACTGGTACTGGAGAAAATAACGTTGCTGTTTAGGTCAAATCACCTGACTTATACTAAACTGCAATGTCTGTTTGGGTGAATGAATAACCTAGCGTGTCTATTTAAATAGTAACAGCATAGATTTTAGAAGTCCGAAGCAGTGGAAAGAAGGGAAGGAAGGCCCGGGGACATCCCCAGCTACAGAAGCTGAAGCTCTGGACCAAGCCCCGAAGAGTGTACGCGTGTGCGTACGTGTCAGAGCCTCGGAAAAGGGCATACGGCGCACGCGCGGAGGCCGAGAGAAAGCTTTCTAGAGGCGGCCTCAGTTCCAAGATTTTGCTACTATTTGTTCAGTGGCGCAGCCTCTCTCTACGCCAAGGCTGGTCAATATTCCCTTCGGCTTCTTTTCCTATGTCCTCTCTCCTTTACCGCCCCGCCCCGCCCCAGGCCCTTTGCCAGAGTCAACCAAGCGTACAGGGCCACCCATCAATCCCTTCGACCCCGCCCCACCCCGCCCAGTCCCGGATACCAGGAAAACCCGGAGCACATAGACTCGATCGGTAGTACTAGTAATGTCTCCCGAGGTGGGGAGGGGGGAAAAGGAGGACTTAGTGAGCATGCGCCGAAGGACGTGAGTGCTCATGCGCAATGGCCCCGGTGGGGCTCGGGAAGGAGTTGAGCCTGCGCGGTGGGTGGGTCCCGTGGTTGAGGTCGAAGTTGTGGCCACTGGAGGGAAAGGAAAAAGGGAAGAGGAAGAGGAAGGAGGGGCGGAGAGGGTGGCCGAACCCGGAAGTAGGTAGATGCTAGGAGGGAGCGCGCCTGTAGTGGAGCTCGGCGGCCGGGAGGCAGCGGAGGCGCTTTGAGGAGGCGGTAAATGGAACTGGGGCAGCTGCCTCGGGAATTCGGGGTGGGAAGCGCGGCGGGTTCTCCGCAGGCCAGGGCCTCCCCTGCTGGAGGAGGGGTTTCTCCCTTTCGTCCTCTGTTGTCCCTGCGCCTCGCCCGTCCTGGCGCTGTCACACTCCTGGGCTCCCAGGTCTGAGGGGACAAATGTGTGGAGCCTTCCCCAGTCTCCTCTTCCCTTGCCGGCCCCCCCCCCCCAGCTGTGGTGTGGGGAGGACCGTGATGACCCAATCACACACTGGACCCTCCGCCCCCAGCCACACCCCCTTCTCTGAGGGCTTTTCCCTCCTGTGTCCTCACCAGCCCATCGTCCTGTGAGTCGGGCTTGGCAGGTGTGAGGGCTCTTTCTTGTTTCCTTTAAAATTTTTTTTTGTCGACTTTCTCGACTTCCCTCTACCTCTCGTTTCTCTCAGCCCTAAGATGTTAAAACACTTATGTGTGTAAGCTTTGGAGTTTGTTTTTTCGTCTTCTCATTCATTTAATGATAGACAGCTGAATGAAAAACACTTTGAATAAATACATTTAAGTCGCCAGTGGGGATATATTATAGGGTTCTTATTGTTTTGCAGACCATGAAACCCTTCCTCACACCTCTCCCGAAGGTGTTACCCAAGATTGAAGCTAATTTTCCTTTTTAAGTCTCTTGAGACACTTATGAAGCTTCTTGTTCTGAAATTGCATTATTGCAATGAAGAAAAGGAGAAAGGTTACTGCAAATTTTGACGAGAAGATCCATCTAGGCCATCATAAAGATTCTTCTGATGGAAACAGTGCAGTGGATAGCGACCAAGTGACCTTTAGTCATTCTACGGAAGGATCTACTGAAGATCTTCAGTGTTATCAGCAACTTCCTCCGTCACCAGATCAGAGAAAGCTTCTGAGTTCTTTGCAGTATAATAAGAATTTACTGAAATATTTAAATGACGATAGACAAAAGCAACCATCTTTCTGTGACTTACTTATAATTGTAGAAGGAAAGGAATTTAGTGCACACAAAGTTGTTGTTGCTGTTGGCAGTAGTTATTTTCATGCTTGTTTGAGCAAAAATCCAAGTACAGATGTTGTCACTCTGGATCATGTAACACATTCTGTTTTTCAGCATTTGCTTGAATTTCTCTACACATCAGAATTTTTTGTCTATAAGAATGAGATACCTCTAGTTTTAGAGGCTGCAAAATTTCTGGATATTATAGATGCAGTTAAACTGCTAAATAATGAAAATATTTCTAATTTTCCTTCTGAAATAACAGAAAAGACATCCCCTGCAGAAACTCTAAGTGAATTGGCAGGCAGGTTGTCAAACAGTCACCAGTGCAAATTCTGCAGTAGAAATTTTTGTTATAAGAAGTCTTTAGAGAATCATTTGACCAAAACTCACAGATCCCTATTAATAGGGAAAAAACATGGGTTAAAAATGCTGGAAAGAGGTTTTTCAGCAAGAAGATCAACGAGGAATAGAAAGTGCCCTGTAAAGTTTGATGAGGACAGTGATAATGAAAATGAAAGTGGTGAAATATCAGACAATTTTGATAAAGACAATTTGGATAAGGTGGCTTTTGATACGGAAAAGTCAGATAAAAATGACTCTGAGGATGCTGGAAGTGAGTACAATGCAGATGGGGAAGCACAGGAGGAGGAAATGTCAGATGAATACTCTGAAGGGGAAGAGCAAAGTGACAAAGAACATAATGATGCAGAAGAGGAGCCTGAAACTGCTGATTCAGTAGGAAATATCCATGAAGGGTTAACTCCAGTGGTCATTCAGAACAGTAACAAAAAAATATTGCAGTGTCCTAAATGTGATAAAACATTTGACCGAATAGGTAAGGAACAATCCTGTTTCATATTTTAATGCTGTTTTAACTTTGTAAATTTGGTTGATTCTTTGTGAAGTTTAAAACTAATTTTTTTTAACATTAGGGAAGACATTTCTTACCATTAGAAATTTTTAAAATTGTTGTGACTTGAATTCAGATATGCTTGCTTAGAGCAATTACTTTTTTCCCCTCTTTACATCGTGAAGGTGAACTCCCTTCACTCATCTACTTTGCAATTATTTGGTATGAAAAATGCTGTTAGTATTCTGGAGTCATTTAATTATGTCTATGAAGTACTTGCTCTGAAACTGAAAGCAGACTTGTAAATAGAACTACTGGTCTTATATACTTACACTACTGGTCTTAAGTTATTAAAAAAATACTAGTTAAATAACTTATGGGTAAGCCATGACATTTATTCCTGCTAACAAACATTTATTAAATGCTTTAGTACAAGGAACTATTCTGGGTGAGGAAAGGGTAGATATAAAGATGAATAAAGCCTAGGTTTTGCCCTGCAAGAGTTTATGAACTAGTAGAGGAATTAAGAAGGGCACAACTATTTAAATGCATAGAAGAGATATGAATACTGTATGCAAGTATCTGAGGTAGCTTCTTTGTAATTGTTGGGGATCCTGTAAAACTTCATGGAGGAAGCAACTGAGCTTGAGCAACATTTTGTTAGAAGGAAATTGGAAAGATGTCATTTATCAATTTTTTCCTCTCTCATGTTTCCAGGGTAAATTTTCACATCCCTTAAAACATTGTTTTTTAAAGAAACAGGAACAAAAATCTTTGTAGTCTTTAGAGCTCAAGTCCAGCATTCTTATTTTGCAGATGAGGAAACTGATACCCAGAGAAGTGAAAGTAATTATCAAGACAGAACTTGAACCCAAGTCTTCTGTACTGTTGCCTCTATATGCAGTAATGCATATGTTATAGTTAAATGATTTATGTGAAAATTTACCAGTTACTAATTCTCTAGGGGGTTAATTAGTAATGAAGTCTTTATTCAATAAATTCTCTGATATTCAATATGATTTAGGAATGGGGTGTTGTGATGATATTACTGTGCTGTCAATGAGCAGATATGGATGGTAAGGCTGATCACAGAACTTAAATCCATGTCTTTATTTAACCACATATTCTCATAAGTGGATTTCTAATTTTCAAAGAATATGAAGATAGGAAAATATATGTTATGTTAAAACTTCACTGAATATAATTTTTTTTTTTGATTTTTCAAAAAGTATTTAAGAATCAGTCTTACAGAGCTCTAGGGACATACAGAAAATACCAATTAGTGATTTTTGGATGAAAGAAAACTAGATAAACAACTTTTTTTTTTTTTTGCCAGTAATCTCAAGTAGTTTAATTAATGAGTTTCAGAGTGAGGGATGTTCTGCTAACTGAAGTAAAAGCACAGGTTATATTCTTAAATCACAACTGGGGAAGGAGGGGAGAGAAGGCAGATTACAACAATCATTTAGTGGTTTCCCACGAGAAACTCATAAGTCCCACAATACAATTCTGGAGTCAGGTCTTTGGGAGTTGTGACCAGCTGCCCTAATAAAGTACAGAACCAGAGTTCTGTGACAGGAACAGGTTCTATAATCTTTGATTCGCTTCACCTAAGGTCCAGCAGTTGTGAGCATTGCCAGGATTTTGAGTGATAAACAACTTTTGTAGAAAGTACTAGTTAGCAGTGATTTATAGATGAAGAAAAGATAAACTAACTTTGCTGTTCTAGTCAGGGGATGAATTTGTACATGGTATGTAGAATTTTAAAAGTTTTCTAATTTAAATAATGGATTAGTCATTTTGAAATGTTTTCTGTTTATTGAGAAAATAATTTTCTGATTTTGTGTGTGTTTGTGTGTGTGTGAAAGATTTACCACTCAAGTCTTTTTAGTTAAACAAGGGTGAGTTAAAAAATTCTATTTCTAAACAAATCTTATTTGGGCAGTTGGAAAATGTTATAACATGTGATGATAGCAGGAATGTGCAAGTACATTTTGACCATGTAAAGTTAGTCCTAAACCATGAATTTGTCTCTAGAAATTTTGTAATGTTGGCTATTATTTATCAATTTTATTTAGCACCCAGTTTTATAAAGTGCTGATAACATTTTAATATTAAAATATGATGTAGCATTTGAGAACTACTATCACTAGATCTGTAATTTTCTGCCTGCTAGCAGTTCTTTCAGTCTGTCTGTTCCCACTGACCATTCCTCTTCTCCCAGATGCTTTGGTTTGAGTGCTTTATGTATACAGCCTTCATTGTGGGCCTGGACCTGGAATTGCACCTTAGGAAATGTGCTGGGGTCAAAGTGCTGGTGTCTTTTGAGGAAGGGATTCCCCTAAGCTTTGTTCTCTAATGTTGCCCAGATCTCCCTGGGTGGGGTTTTTACTTAGTCTCACTACATTCCAAAGTGCAAAGGCCAAACTGTATACCTAGACATATTTCCCCTTTGTTAAATAGGTTATGGCTAGACTTTACATTGTGAATTGTAGCTGACAAATTGATCTTCTTGCTTATGTTACAACTCTGCTCCTCCAGGTTGAAAGGACCCAGAAAAAGTTATGATCAGGCCCAGAAGCATTTGCTCTTAATATACTAGGACCATAATCTTTATTTTGCCAATCTGATTCCATTTCCCTTTCTTTTGTGAGCAACAGGTGTAGACATTGTCTTGTATATAGTTATGCCTTTCCTCAAAGCTTATTAATGGCTCACATATTAGCTCCCTTCTGAAACAGAGAATGCCTAATGACTCCCTACCCTGTAAATGCTCTGAAATTATAGTAACAAAAACCAGTGGAAAATAAAAACAAGAATAGGGACAGGTATAATGTATTGCCAGTGAGTAAATTTATATGGTAAGATTGGTCATGGGACTTAAATCCAAATCACTATTTTATAATTAACCCGAGGTCCATGAACTTGCTTTTAACTGTATTTCATTATAATTAATATTCCTTATGAGAAGGGGTCCATAGACTTCACCAGACTTCCAAAGAGGTCCGTGATACACAGAAAAAGTTAAGAAGCTCTATTTTAGGGGCTACCCGATTTCAGGGTTTTTATTATGACTTAAACCTGGTGTCTCCCAACCTGAAAGGACAGTTACCTTTGGTCCATAGATCCCTAAGAATATATTTCTTCTGAGGATGTCTAGAGTTAATGTCTGTATTAATAACATTGTAGTTAATCCTTTCAAAAATATTTCTTTAGCTTTAGAGTGCCATAATAACTTCAGAGTGCCTCAATTTCATGTGAAATGATCAAATGACTCTAAATTAGCTCTTGAATTTTTGTAAATTAGTGATTTAAAACAAAACAACTGAATAAATAACAAACCATCTGAAAAACCCCAAACATATTAAAATTTATTCAACTATATGCGTTTCAGTTTAGTGTCCATAAAAGAGTTTGTATTGATAATCGTGATCTTTCCATGTCTACTGGTGGTCTCTGCTTCCTGATGTTAGAAAATATTGACTAGGGAAAGTATCAAGAGAGTTTAATATTCAAATACATCTATGATCTTAGTGATTTGGATGTTCCCTACCTTGATGTAGATCAAAACCTATTGTGTCCAAGGCCTTTTATAAGTTAATCACAGTTCTTCCCAACATGTTTGGGTTTTCCTTGATTGCCCCTTCCATTGCAAGCCTGCTGGTAGTGCACTTAGGCTGTTCATCTTTTTGTTGTCCCTCAACAAGTACCAACTCCTGTTTCTTTTTTTTGTCATAATTTTTTCCAGTGACATGGTTTACTTCTTTTCTTTAAAGTTCTTGATTATGTATTTCAGCCTGCTTTAGGCTTATCATGTGACTTTCTGTTGCTTCCTCTGTAATAGGTTCATGTTTCAGGGCCATAAAACAATATTGGCAGAATATTGGTATTAAAGACATGTGATTTTATTTATGGAAGAAGTTTGAGGTCATTGAGGAACTTAGCACCTGCCTAAAAGCAGTTCAGCCTGTTCTTCTCTTGTTTGCTGTTGGACCTAATTTATATATTTGTAGTGTCATCTGTGGATGCTGGAGCTTGCATGCTTGCTCTTGCACTTTCTCTCTCTCTCTCTCTCTCTCATGCGCGCGTGCGCGCGCACACACACACACACACACACACACCCATTCAACTATATGTCATTGTTTGGGCAGAAAAATTTAGTAGAGAAAATAAATATTTTAAAATTTGACTCCTACTTGATTTTTAAATATAACTAACTTTATTATAATTTTTGGAATGATGTTTTAGATGCTTTATTTGTATTTCCCAAATAAGACAGCAAGGGAAGAGGGTGGGTAGTTTTGAACTTAATGAAACAATATTCATGGAAGTTGAAATAAAAATATCAATGTTGTTTTAATGTTTTATTTTTTGAGACACTTTAAGGAAATACCATTAGCAAAATTTTACTTACACTTTAATATTATATTAAGTTGTTATTCTTTTGGAAATATGTCAGAGTAGTCAATATTATTTAACATTTTTTTTATTTGTTTGATCACAAATTATGTCAGATAGAAAATTGTTTCTAGCCAAATGCATAACTTCTAACTTCAGTTTCAAAAGGTTGTATGGAAGAAGAAGAAATAATTTTGAAGGAGATTTGGAAAGTTTTGGAATTGTGACAAAAGCTAGAGGTTGAATTTGGAGAGGGGACTTTTGGGAGAATTTGAGGGAGAGGCTGGAGGAAGAGGATTCAAACATAAGGATCTAAGAAGAAAGAACTAAAGAGGAAGACTTGCAGAAGAGAAAGATGAAAAGGATTGGAGGTGAAAGAGCAGGAAATTAAATAAGTGTGAGAAGACAAGACAAGTTAATAAGTCAGTGTAAAAAAATTAGTAAGACAAAGGGGAAAAACTGAATGTGGCCATTAAGATGCTAAAGAAGTATGTAGGGAAGTTACAGCTTCAGAAGTAAAGATGAAACAGGCAGTTAGCTATAGGTACGATAGGGTAGTGTGGTATAATGGATAGAATGTTGGACTT